AACAAAGAGACAATTTAATAAACATGTGTTGTGGGACATTTTGTTGGTAAAATATAGACATCCTCTGAAACTTAAATAACAAACAACTATTTCTATTATAGAGTAAAATGATTGATCACCCTAAATGTAATTTGTTAAAATGATTAACTCAATATTTTACCCAAATAACTTTTATCAACTTTAAGTTTTGTTATAAATCAAGCAATGGTAACTATACATTTTAAAATGCTTTACACTAAATATAAATTAGTTACATTGAATCTGTTGCAGTTACCCGATTGGCTGGGTAAATAATATCGATTTTATCGCTAGTAGGAATCTTGCAAATAATTAGCTCTGCAGATCAGATAGGAAAGTTCCGTCGAAAGGTCAAGTAAATATATACCAGCTTAGTATATTTTTAGAATAAAAGAAAGCCGTTTTAAATTTATATTTTTCTATGATAATGTGATAGATCACTCCGTCTTATTCGTGCGACCTTTTATCACCTTACTTCACTATTCCTAATTTTAGTATCCATGAAAATTTATTTTAACTTGTACTTAATCAGTTAACTTCCTACTCTTTTACCAAAAGATGCACGCACTTCTACATCGAAATTAAAACCTAATTTTAAGCCTCATTTTAGTTCCTTTCCCTTTCCACCCTTACCTAAGAGGAAAGAACGGGAGGGAAAAGTGGATTTAACGGTGGAGAAGAAGCATAGGAAGGGGAAATATCCTATTTATGTGCATCTCCTCCTCCGTCAATTAAGGGTAGGCAACGCAACTGCAATTGCGGATATTTATGGACAGCGGTGGCTCTCCATTTCGATGAATTCAGGAGGCCGCTTGCTCGTTCGCCACTGTTCCTTCCCATCCTTTCTTCTTAAGAAAGGGTGGAAAGGGAAATGGACTAAAATTAGGCCTCCGGCACCACACTCGACAGACGAAACGCGGAATTGCTTCCACTTCACGCCTGTTTTCTGTGTGGTCGTGGTATTACACCGAGCGAGCTGACCCATTCGTGCGAAGATGTTAAAGCGGGCTCTACCACTGTATTTCATATATTATCTTTTTCACATAATCCATCCATACCTTCTTATCACAATAATATTCCAAGATTACTACGAATGTACTAACACGTATGACACATGATGTTTTATGTTTTTTAGTCTGTCAAAAGCCTCCAATCCTATTGCTACATCAATACACCTTTGACTGTTACAGAGAAAGCTTTCAGATGAATTGAAATCCAGGTACATTTTGTTTCTATCTGATGTTCGCGACAGAAACTAATACCAAATTGAAATAGAATACTATGCTTTTTTAAAGCGTTTCACACAGATAAATTAATAGACAGATATCCTCTAAATAACATTTCCTTGGGAATAGATGATAACTTTATACCAAAACATTTAAGTTTCTTACTATTTTTTATTATAACAACAATGTACTGGCCTTCCTTTTATAATGTATTTCGCAAGACGGAAACATTGCTAAAAGCATCGCATTTTTCTTGTTTATGCTAACGTCGCAATTCTAATGCACTACGCACTTTTTTTTACTTATCCACCGGTGCGCATTTACAGTTTATTGTTATAGTTGTATATTTTCAAATGTAACAAAAACATGTAAATCAAAGAATACATTTATCACTATACTAAAATGTTTTCTCGTATCTCGTTTGCTGTATTTTTACTATATTTCTTTTGACTAAGAGAAATTGCATATTTTGATAAACGCGTTAATGTTTAGCCTCACTTTACGACGGCAATTCATTTTCCCCATGAATTTAGGCTGCGTAAGTCGCCGTTTTTGCTACGTAATTTATTTTCTCGGGGTCCAGTCGTTGATCTCCGGAAATTATTCTTTTCGCCACAGTCGGAAACCGCAACATCAAACACCAAATAAGTTTAAAAAATAATAATTAACAATTATTAATAATGTCATCTGATATCAGTCAGCCGGAAATGTAACAATTTATCTTTCGAAGTATTTAATCTAACTGAACTACATTTCAGTGAACAAGATACTTCATAAAATTTACCAGGAAATAACACTGCTAAAAACTGAACAAATTTATGTTAAAATTGTTTTAATAATTTTAGTCTAGTTAACGTTGTGTTAATAAATCCGTGGTTTGATTCATTAGCGTATAAACTTTCCTCTTCGATAGCAAAACTGTTCTACGTAACTTCGTTAATTAATATTTCAATTTAACGAAGTATTTATGGAACTATTATATATTATTTTTCAACAAAAGTGCTACCTATTGTTTGTTTATAGTGTTATTGAACAATAGTTAATTATTGGAAATGGCATTTCATTTGAACAGCGAATTTCGCGCGAGGCTTAAATCAAGGAACGGAAATTGAAGTCGCACGTTAATTATACGCTATCTGGGGCGTGTAAATTGTTTATGGCATCACTGCATGCTCTATGCATCACAGTACATACATCGTGCTATATGTTTTGTTAGAAAACGTATTAATTGCCACACTAAGATTTGACTAAGACAATCCTTTAGTGAAGAATCTCTAAAAGACCGCTTAAGTAACTAAAAATGATGTAGCTTAGATTTTAGTTAGACCGTTTTAGAGTCGATAGCATAGTTGTGCGTCAGATAAGGTTTATCTGACGCACAACTATGCTAAAGTTAGGTTATTTTAGGTAGTAGTTTGAGTCCTAAAAGGTTTCTAAAAGATAATTTTAATAGCTCACATATATGTATGCAAAATTATGTAATTGACGAGGCTTTATTTCGTCGTCTCTCAACGCCCGTCTCAAAAGCCTGTATTGATTTTATGATGGATGCTACAGGTGAGCGCTGGGTAGGCCGCCCCCATGCACTTACCTATAACGAGTTTGGAGACTTTATTGATTGAGACTCAAACATAACACTTAAGTCATATGGATGTCATGAAAATAATGTATTTCATCTATTAAGATATTTTATCATATAAAAGATATTATTTATCTATCATTTGTTTGACTAACATTTCGATTTTTTTATATTTTTTTATCAAAACAATAAAAGTCATACACATTGTAAAAGTTGTTCAAGTCATTGTGTTTTTACGTAATGGAAACTAATTAAAAACCCCCAAAAAGGACCGAAAAGCGCAGGTTTTTATCCGCCCTCTCCATCCTTTGTCTATTGTTTGACGAGACGAGAAATCGGAAGGGACTATCATTACCGGCTGAGTAGGGTTCTGCTGAAATAAAACGTAAAATACATCAAAACGATTAAATCCTGGATTCTGTCGTTTATTTTCTGCGACCTACTTCCCTTAATTTAATACAAACAATAATTAAATATAAACAATTAGTCATTTCATTATGTCCATCTAAAAACTTATAAACATTAATATTATTTTAATTATTACATCCCATGTTAAAAAATATGAATTGGTAGAGAATAATACAAGATATAAATAAATTACATCTATTATACCGGAAGCCAATCAAAACTCCTATAACCATAGATAATATCCAAATTACTTCTGTTAAAACACATTTCCTCTAGTAAAATATCACAAAAAACTGAAAACATAAATCGAAACAATGTAAATTAATTAACTATGCAACATCTTAACTAAATAATAAGGTGGTCGTCAGCAATTTATTAGCAAGAGTCAGTGAGCTTTTCTTCCGATCTAATGACCTAGAAAAGCTATTTCAATATGACAAGGCAAATCAAGTCAGTAAATATTCGCTAATACCCTTGTCACTTGGTTGTCTGTCATTCGTAACGCGGGTAACAAATTAGTTAAAGCTGCTAAAATATAGTATCGGAAGGGAAAACCTAGTACCCAATTCACATCTTGTAAAATATTTCTCACCTACAAAAAAGGTATAAACCATAATATCTTGAAAATATATGAATACAATGTTAGTACATCTCAAAAGTATTAATGTAAGCAAAAATTTGTATTCTGTATGATGCTTGATTTCATAATTGATTATGTCATTCCCAACCTCAATTTATAGCACGAATATTTTGCAAATGTTTATGCCACAAACGCACTTACTTAAATTAATTTTACACATATATCTACATGAAATGACAATATTAAAGCCCGCATTTAGTTTCACTGCACTGCTGATATAAATCACATTAGCGCGGCCACACTACGCTTTTACGAAATGAAAATTATAGTAACAACGCTTGCATTTAAATATAGTAATTTAAAACATAAATAAATATTTGCTAGAAGCAATTAGTGACCAAATCATTTCTCCAAGTGATAACATTGGGCCGGTTTGACCTGTGAAATACCTAACCGTAGACAAGCGTGGAATAGGAGTTTACTACGATTTATACTTTGATCAACAATAACTACATGTGTGGCCGACACTAATAATCTACCACGCTCAATGTATTCCACTTTAAAACCAGAAGTTGTATTTTGTTTAATTTGCTTAAAAAAATACCGCCAACATAAATACATAAAGAATAAGTTAAATTACAACCTTAACTATTCTTTTTAATTAACGAGCTTAAATAACCGCTACGAATGTAGTCGTAGAAATCTGAACGGGTCTTCTATACACCTTCCCTTGATACATTTTTTGTCACATCACTGAAGGCAGGCGTTGCATCGGCAATTGATAAGCAATTTGTATGCGATATAAACATTCATATTTGCCACCTGAAACTGCAAAAAAGATAAAGATATCAAAACACGAAAAAAAAATGGAAAAACTCTACCGCCCCCGGATCGCCTCACGGTGGGCAGTGATCTATATTATTTTCATAAAGTTTTTACTAATAGACCGGGAATGAAAATATAGCCGTATAGCCTTTAATTAATTATTAATACCAAGAGAAGTATTCCCTTTAAAAAGCATTTATAAAATCTATAAGATACAGCAATTTATTCATACCACAAATTATTATATCTGGCAATGAAGAAAAATTGAACAGAAGTTTTCCGTTTTCTACAGTCACGTTGGCGCTGTGTTCGCGCATACCGCGCATGCGTCGTAGTGTTACAACATCCACGCCGAATCGAAACCACAGACAATTTTTGTACTCTGGCAAATATTGCGTTTTGTTTGTAGGTTATGTTTTAGTCGTCAATTGTCAAAATTAATGTTAAATAGTTTTGTAAAAATCTACTATGAAGTGGTTAAACCTTTTCGTGAACTTTTCTTAGTGGACGTTATCGACCCGCGATTGTTAAGTAGAATGTTTAATTCTTACATCACAATGGTTGTATAGACTCGAATATTGGTTGACATTGAATGTAAAGATGTGATTAGGAGCAACGATCGCAACTTCTTTTCGCTTCAATTATCATTTAAACATTCTTTTGATCGTAGAATATTCCAAATCAGGAATCCCTTACATTTGGTTTTTACAATTTCATACTATCAACCAAGATGACAAGTAGTCAACAATCTGTTTTGAAACTATACAACACGGTAGTTGATGATGTGATCGCTGGAGTGCGGGATTGCTTTTTGGACGATGGTGTGGACGAGCAAGTCCTACAAGAATTAAAACAGTTATGGAAGACGAAACTAACCTCAAGCGGGGCCATGGACCCACCACAAGTTGAGAACTATATGCCTCCACCACCTCCTGTACTTCAGTCTTTCCAAAAAGCTAATGGTAATAATATAATTCCTAAGAGAGCTGATACACACATGCCGCAACAGAGTTCAAGTCAACAGAACAGTGGAGTGGGCCATGCTGCTTCAGCACCTACTGTACCTGGTGCACATCCACCCCATCAAGTATTGGATCCCAATCACAAAGTGGCCGTGCAGCTGACACTGCCACCACAGGCGGGAGTGCCGGGATCTCAGGCTCGCTCATTTACAATACAGATCCCTGCTGCAGCTCTACATGGCAACAAATTACACCAAGTTTTGACTGGAAACATCATCAATGCTACTGTTAATTTACCACCACAATTAGCTGCAACATTGCTACAGCAACATATCACGTCTGCCCTGGCTGGGCAACAAAATGATTTTGATGGTGGTGGAGGAGGCCGCAGCAATGCCGCACCCTTTTCCTTAGATGGTGCTATGGATTCCTCAGATGATGAAGGTTCAAATGTAGGTGACGGCTCAGAAGATGGCGGTGGAGATGATGATGAGGATGAGGAATCTGCTGAGGAACGTGCGGAGGAGGAAGAAGAAGAAAGAGATGAAAGTGGTGGGGCGGAAGAGGAGCCCCTAAACTCAGGAGATGATGTGTCAGATGAAGAGCCGGGTGACATGTTTGATACTGATAATGTAGTTGTTTGCCAGTATGATAAGATAACCCGCAGTCGTAACAGATGGAAGTTCTATCTCAAAGACGGTATAATGAATTTAGGTGGAAAGGATTTTGTTTTCCAAAAAGCCAATGGTGATGCAGAGTGGTGAAACTCTCATTTCAGTTTTTCCATTAGTGTTTTGTATAACAAAGGTGTATTTATCTCTTGGATGTTATTGTTGTGAGGATATTGCAAAAAGACTTGTGATTTTGTGTCACAAATGTAAAAATGACTGACTTTAACCTAGAAAATTATCTGTACACAAGAATTTCACAACATGTATAGTAATTAGATTAAAGATTTGACATTTTTTAATTATAATAATTTGTATTCATTAATAAAATCCTTAAAACTGACATGGGATATGTATCAATTTTTGTAACCAAATAGTTAATTATGACAACACTATGCATAAAAGTGAAATTCTTTACCCGTAAATAATTTCTATGATTTTCAAACTGAATAACAAGTTTATGACCAATCTTTGAAAAGGACAAACTATTTTCAAATAATGGTATATTCCTCATAAAATAGTTTCAATTACCAAAATTGTTTTATTATTGTGTTTAAGTTTTGTTGTAATATTTGTTTACTGATATCTAAATATATAGTTATACATAAAATAAAATTGTTTACATGAAAAGGTTAAAGTCAGAATGGTTATCCTCATTTATTATATTCAACTACCAAATGAGGTGAAGGATCAAATATTTGAGCTTCAGATGTTAGATAAATAATAACAGTTGTGTAAAGGTGTGACATGATTAAATTGCTATTTTAGCTTCACTTATTCCATAGAACATTTTGAAAGTTATTCAATAGTTTAAATATCTTTTTGTATCGAGATTTTTCCAACATTTTCCATGCCACTATGCTTTTTTGGTAAACACTGGATGAGTCTGGTACTAGCAGTGTTAGATAAAGATAAATACATATAAAGTAAATGAACCTTAATTAAATGTACACTTGAGATTAGTGTGAGAAATAAAATTGGTAATGTTTGGTTAATTTTAAACCCAGGTCCTGCTAATATAAGTATGGCAGTAAAATTGGGTATTTTTAACTAGTGTGACAAAATTATATACCAGAAATTTTTATTTGTTTAGAATATACATAGATTTCAGATGATTAATATAAAAGTATCTCATTTAAAGAATATTGAAATTAATTTTTTTTTTGACATACTGTTCCATAATAGCAAAATCTATTTACACAGCTTGTTCTAACCTGCAGTATCTAAGTGAAGCTAAAATCCAATTTGATGAGTAAACATAGTTTGGGTAAAACTTAATTTGATTGACTTACCAGGCATTTCAGTTTGCTGATAGATTTTCGTTATAATTTTTTACCAACTTAAGTTCTTTTATGGCCCCTTTGTATGACCATTTGTATATTATAAAATATCTTGTGAATAATTCTTTTTGTTCTTAGAAAATCAACTTGTTTTGTTTTACTTAAATTCATATAGTAGAATAATATAATTTTTTTGTTATGATATATGATAATAATATAAATTTATTAAAATGATTAGCAGTGGCAGTGATAACATTGTATCAAATATGTGCTCCTAAGATGGACTTATCTACAGCTGTACCAATTTTAATGTTCCTCACATGTGACAAAATCACTTGCCATAAATCCTGCCCTGCATTATGCGTTTTGTAATCAAAAGACATAAAAGTTTGTTTTTTTTTTTCAAAATCTTTAACTGACTAAGTATTGTGATATGGATCTTAATGTCTTTATAAGCACAATAAGAACTTTTTTTCATTTCACTGTATTTTAATTTGAACAGGCCGAAGGTAACATGACCTAAGGTAACCTCTAATTTTGTAGTTATTTCTCCTATACTTTAAGTTCTAAGGGTTAGTTGTAATCCAATAAACGATGTTTGACGATGATAATATTAATAAAAGTATGTTGCATTAATGCTTTTTATTATTTTAAATAACCTTACAAATATATAATTCTTCTTCTTTTAATGATTAGTGGACCCCATCGGTATTTAATATATAATTACTTTTTACATTGCAAAAATCTATGCAGAATTTTTATTCTAGATAACAAAATCAGATAATCTAAATCTGATAAGATTTAAGATAGTTTTCTTTGAATTTAACTAATAACAAACCGGATTAAATCGATAAAAACGGTTTACTATATCTTATGGACACACCTTTAAGATATTTTGCATTCATGCATAATTAATAGGTAACCCAAAGTATTAAAAGACAACATTTATTAACTTTCCTGTCGCTGAAACATTTACATAAATATTGTGAACTCAACTATCAATCACAACAAAAACAAATTTCTAAATTCACTTTCGAAAATTTCAACATTTCATTAGACAAATAATGTTGATAAGAAACATGTATCAGCAATGCGAACTGGCGGTTGTGTGTATAAAAATAAGTTTTCGTTGGTTGGTTTTTTCACAAGTGAATATCATTATTTATTCATTGCGACAATGGTTCAGGGTCAGCGTTAAGTGCAGGCGCTAAGTGACGCGAGCCCGCTTGCCGCAAAACCGTCCCCAATACCAGCGACCGCTCGCGGATAGCCTTGGTAACGTGACGTTAAACTCATTAGTAGTATTAAAATTCATTTTACATCATAACACATATTAGTAAATGCATAAGTAATATGCTCCTACGACTTTCTTATGAAGTAAACAATGATAACACTGTGTACTCTTTTGTTTCATGTAACAGAGGCAAAGTAATTGTTTACCTGATGTGACGTGAACCTGTCTGAATAACATGTTTCCTAAACCGTGATGATGATCGGAGCTGGAAAAATTATAAAAGAGATTATAGTTTAGTTTAGAATTCAAATCATGTTCAAGTTTAAAAACGGAGAGATAACATGCGTTATTTCTTTAACCGTAAAATATGTTAATTATACTTCCAACGACTGTATACGTCAGGACCCGAGCAATACCTCTAATGTAGACATCGAAAGTGATTGGACTTTTCGACTGTTTTTCTGTCATAGAATAAATTCTGCTGAGTCTATTTAAAATAGCATGCAACAACTTATTGTAAATAAGATGAAATAGCGTAACGCCTTTTGGTTGTTTTATCAAGAGCTGAAAATTTACTTGTTTCCACTTTGCTATAATATTTTAAAAGGCGTTAAGTTTAATTAAAAAAGAATTAATAAAGAAAGCTCTTTGTCGAAAAAGTAATTTACTTGTATATAAGTAAGAATTGACTTTATTTTGTACAAAATTAAAAAGCATGTAAAATATTAAAGACGTACTGCATCACAGAATCTTCTTACAAATAGAAGTAGACGTTAAATTTAAGCCTAAATATTTGCTGCTGTTTTTAATACTAGACACCGCCCGAAGCTCCAAGTAGCTTGGGTTTCAAATATAACAACTTCTTGTTTGTATAAAATGTAAAAGACTAGTAGTATTATTTTATTAAGAAACCAAGGTATAATGATTTAATTTACAATGACAAAACAGTCATTAAACTCTGAGCCAATATTGTTATCGCTACCAGAGGCCAAGTAGCGATAAATAGCGGTCAATCTAAACGTTGTACAAGACAAAGGCGAGTTTAAATTGCATGACGACAAGGGAGGTAAGGCTCGCGGCTTGTTACACTTGCAATCAGTTGTCGGCCGCAGAGAGAGGCGATGAATAGAACAAAGGAGTTCTATGTCGGTGCCGGGTGCCTTGCCGGCCACGACCACAGCGCTCGTTCCAATTATCCAATGTAATCCGCGCCATAGACTCACGTAATCGACTTACCCGCCATGTTTAATATCGCATTCTACAGCTAAATATTTACGCAAATTGCATCCCGCGCTTTGTGCGTCGTTTGCATTATTAATCTACTGACATCAGTGAACTAAAATTAAATAATATTTAGTACTCAAGTATGTTTTATTATTATTATGAAGCTTTTAGAGATTTCTTAATTCCTGTATGCTTACATACATTAAATTGTATTTACTAGTATTCGACAAGTTATGAGTACACTACTAGAGCTGTGTTGTACAATGGGATTCAAAAATGTATTTTTTTAAATGTCTTTGTTTGTGTATTTACTTAACATACATATAAATATGGTCACTATACGCTGTAATGATTAAAACTTTTAACGATTAATATTGATGTTACGTTTTTTCAATCGCAAACATGTATCTTGTTACATTACGGTTTGACTATGTCGCGCACATAGTAGTAAATTACTATAAGTAACTGTTGTTAAATAAATTAACAACACGTACATATGTAGTACGTTTATCAAATGCATGTAGCGAACGCTGACATCGCCCATATTGATTAACCTAGAAATGCAATTTGACTTGGCATACTCAAGTTTAAATTTGATTTGGTGACATACTTTGCACAGATATTTAAGGAAACTAATATTTGTTAATTAACGAATTGAAACTGCTGTATCCAATATTTGAGAATTAGCGTAATTATTATCTGAAATTACACTCACATAAGTAAACTAGATTCTAGACGATTAATGCTCTGTTTCTGAAGTTTCCATTTATTTTATTATTAAATAGTGATTGAATAGTTTTTAACGTATGTTTCAACGAAGTAAAAATCAAGTTTACATAGTTTAGAAACGCATTTCATGAAATTATCGAACCATAACCACTATCGAATAGTTAAATGCAGCTGTACAACCGGCCATAAAACTTTAATTTGCCGCAGGAAGAATGGAAAAGTACTAAAGCACCAGTCATGCAAATCTTTCTGTTATTGTTGAACCATATTCTTGCTGTATATTTATTGACATTCTTTAAAGAAGAAACTATAAGTTGTGTTTGATGTAGGTAGATTTATATAACCTACCGTCAATTGATTTAGAACAAATCAGTCCCGAACCAACCGCTGTTTCATTACCATTACAGTATATTCTTGTAGTAGCTAACGCTTCTGAACATATATCATAGTTAGTGTTTGTGTAAACTTTACTTATTAACTTGTCTAACAATGTTTCTTTGCAAAATGATATTGCTATTTACTGCCTGTTCGTGGAAGAGGTAATGTTAAGACAATTGTTAGTGAATACTAAATTTAAAATATCGAGGAACATGGTCGGTTAGTCTGATTATATGAGGAACGCATGAGAGATTCCGTCGCAGTTCACTTTGGCGGGTAATTGAGTGCGCCGGCTGAACGTCGGACGTGCTCCAGTCGGGCGGTATAACCGAATCGTCTAATTGGCTGTCGCACGGCAGTCGCCAGCTCAGATATTGAATGCCAGCTCACGATTCCATATTTTAAAAATAGAGAAATCTGATATTAAAGGTATGAACTAGTTTATTCTTGGAGTAGAAATATTGAATCGTATTCTTATACATTTCTAATGCTTTATGTTACTTAAGGGTAGTTATATATGCAGAGAAAAACTAAAACTAACTAGAGATATGCTGTTTTTGAAAACATTTTCATACGTGTCATACCTTTGGTAATTTTTAAATATTCTTTAATTAAAATGCATAAGTTTCTTTATCTGTATTCTGTAGTAGATTAATTCATGGTCGCGTTATTATAAATTTCACTCCTTATTTTATCTTGGAGTGGGAAATGAAAGCACTAATTCAGTTTTTGCTTTGAATGGTCATTCATTATTTATACTGCAAAAGGAACTAACAGCACTTGAATAACCCACTTGTACAAACTACGTTTATATGAACGGTATAAATAATTTTGTGTTTATATTAACTTTGTTTTCAATTCTAGACTCACTGTCGCACTCAGAATAGACAAACGGTCGATAAAAACATCTCTTAGAGGAGTTATAGTGTGAAAAATCCACACTAAGATACTAATTTGATAGCCGTTAACGACTAGCAGTGCACTTTCGGTTTATAAGCAGAGATTGCGAAGCGAATTGTTTAAAAATCGCTTCAGCATTCGGTTGTTAGAGTATTCGTCATTATAAGTGTATTAAAATATTAGCCCGCGACTCCGTTCGCGTGGAATTAAAAAACGCAAAATTGAGTAGGCTATGTGTTCTTCCAGACTATCCTCTACATCTATTCCAAATTTCATCGAAATCCGTTCAGCCGTTTAGACTACAAACTCTAACAAATATCCATCCATCCATCCATCTAAACTTTCGCATTTATAATATTAGCATGACTGAACTGCATTGATAGTAAAACTGTTTCAATTATACCATTAAAATCCTATTTCTTTTGTTTCAGGTGTTAGTGCTGACACAAAGTCGGAAAGTAAAGTTTTAAACTAATAAAATGCTATGTGTGATTGTATCTATTCTCATACCCGACTGAGTTAGCTGTTAGTTCGTGTACAGTTCAGAGTGCGCTCAGCTTCGTGTGGTATAATGGTGTGAGTGAAGTGACAGTGAGAGAAAAACTACAAGATGCTGCCCACAAACGTTATGTCTTTTATGAAGAAGGTGAGTTACATATTGCCATAACTATTCATTAGTATAGTTAATTCGACAAAAACCAACCGTTCAGGAGTCTAATTGCGATATGAATTATCATAATTTTTGTTTTTATTCAGTTGTCTATGATTTTGTATTAAATTCGGTATTATTCGATTAATTCTTACATCAGCCTCTGTAAGTATGATTCATACGATTAATTAGAATATTCAAATATAACTCTGGTTACTACAAGGAAATAAAACAATAAGTCATTACAGATTATACGAGGGTTACATTCCGCGTAAAGTTTGAGTGGCCATTTTGATTTTATGCCTCTGTCGCTTTAATTAAAAACTCTCCAGCGGCGCGGGCGGGCGCTCCCGTCGACCCGCTCCCACTCAAATTATGACACTTGTATGCGAAATAGCCTTAACTAACAGATGTTTCGGGCTTTAACGTGTAGAGAACAAAAATACATTTTAATAACAAGATTTAATAAGGTAAATAGAGAAATTAGGATTGACAAAAAGTCGCCACGCCGCACTAACTAGCTCCTAACACAAAAATCTCTAATCGTATATATCACAAAAATAATTATTCTGTAGGAGCATAATCTAGCACGTTAGCTCAGAAAAAAAAATACCTTTAAAGCTTCTCTAAACATCGAAAATAATTTTGTTTGCAAAATAAATTGCTCGCATGTGACTTTCTACAAACATTTGTAAAAGAAATTATATGATTGAGTTGTTTTAAGAAAAATATACCGAGGAGACTTACAGTGTACACAGTTTGAGAACGTTTTATTGAATAAACAATTTCTTTGTAGTCGTTACATTATTAATAATAAATAACTTGTCGTTTTTAATGGTAGTCTAAACGCCTAATAGTACCGACTTTTTATTTCCCTATCCATCGTATTGATGACACAAAGATATACTAAATATAATATTTTACCTCCGAATATTAGGTAACACAGGTAATACCATACGAATACATATTCTACACATTGTTCAAAATTTGAAGAGCTTACAACTCGTCCCTTTTAATAAAACGATGCCACGTGTAAGCTTCACTACGTTCATTAAAAGGAAAGTTAACTGTTCTGCTTCATGGCGACGTATAACATACGAGTACTAGCTGTTCCCGTGTGGCTTCAACCGAAAGAAATTATAAAAACTTTATTTTATTGTGTACATTTATCAAATTCTCAATTGCAAATGTCAAAATTACCTTTTTGTTATTGCTTCCTTAATGTTGGCAGTTTTGTAGTTTATGATCCCTTTCCCACATGAAAGATTTTTTCCAATTTATTTACTCCCTAACTCTAGTAACGTGAAAATATATAGTAATAAGGGTGTCGTAAGTGTAGGGCTTTTTAAAGAAAGAATTATTCAAAAATATGCTGTGATTGCTAACATCTTGCGCCATGAAGTAGCGTGTGTTTAAAAATAACAGTAAAATAAAATAGAATACTATTTACGCTTTAATATATTAGTTTAGAAGTAGATATATATATTAAAAACTTGAATATATGAACCTACATGTATAAAATTCCGACTAACAGAATGAAGTTCAGCTAAATAAGGCTGTCTAATGAAACATAAATACAAGTTTCTGTTCGACCTTGGATTTTTTAATATTCGAAATATGTGTAAAAATATATAACTGCGAATAAATGGAAATATTTGATAAATAGATTTTGAACAGCACTTGACGAGTTCGCTCCGTTAATAGATTTCGTATAAAATTTATATTGAGCGTAGATCGAAATGAAATTAAGCATTCATGTTTTTCAATAACGCTTGCTTGGTATGAAATATTTTATTTTGAAATAAACTTTTTATGACGATATAAAATAATTTTAAAGTTAATAAATAGATATATTAATAATCCAACTGTATGCAAAAAATGTTTTATAGTTTTATGTTTTTAATTGTGTAAGCGTGTCACAAATTTAAAATATTTTACCTGCCTGAGAACAATTCTGAACAAATTCTTGACCTTCCACCCTTTCATCGCATAATTAATTCTGCTCATTTCAGTACAACTTTTTCAATTAACGTCACCACGCGAGAGTGTTCATTAAAATGTACAGATGTAAAGCAATTTCTTTATTTTAACTAAGGTTTTTCATTTCATAGAAACATCTGACTATGTTATCATTATCAATTAAACATTGTATAAGTTTATGTATTTCAAGTAACTGCGAAAATTCTCCTTCATTTGCTATTTACAAAACATTCCTCTAGGCCAAGAAAGATCCTACGCACTTCCAAATTGTAACACATACAAAGATTTCTCAACTTAGAATGCTCTTAAACTTCGCGCTTGTATCTTTTCTTGGAATAATCTCTGGTGAAAAGTAGGTTAAAACTACTTAAGTTGGTTCAACCTACCGACCTATTAGAATTAAGGATAAGTATAAAAAAAGCTTTCAAGACCTACTCAGTAGAGAGGTTTTACACAATTTTTCATTTATATCTGGAAAAATATCCTCGGCATAATTCATAATTTTACGATCATACGTAGAGTGTCATTTCATTATATTCACGTGCGGTGTGTAATAGGTTTACTCTACAAAGAGCCATCGATCAAGGTAATAGGACAGGAGATTAGGGGCATGAAAATAAGGAAGGATGGAAAGATTTATCATGAGCCTAGCGGTAAGAGAACTAATTTAAACTACAAGCCAACTGCGACGGGAAGGAGCTTACCAAATGACGTAAAGTAAAGCTTTATTTAGTTGTTTGTTTTAATTTGATATAAAATACTACTAGTTACTACTAAAGTGACAATTTATAACGAAAATGTTGACAAATAAAGAATGCGTCTAAGGGCAGGCTTACACCTTTGAGTAAACTATCGCACAAACGTTATACGATTACCAATTGTTTCGCAACCCATGCAACTAAAAATCGAGTAGTGTGCGCACCTCCATGTAAACTCATACGAATCAAAGCGAGACTAAACAGTTGTACGATAGTTTAGTTCCAAGTGTGCATATGCTCTTATATGATAGATCAAAACACAACCTAGCAACGTTGAATCTATGTAGTATTTATCTTACACAAAGTAGGAATTTGGCCACATCTAAAAGGATGTCTTGACTATAGGCACTCACAATACATTGTTATTCGTTGTATTCTATTCAACACATCGTATTTCTTTGTGTTTTCGTCCTTCAATAAATGTACAATTACAAACATAGAGTTAACGCAGCATAATGAATAACAGAGAAAATAAAGCGTTTTTAATAAAACGACCGACGATCGAGCTCATTCTGTTTGTTTGGATAATGAAATGCGAGCTCATACTAATCGACCACCGAATGGTTTAAAATTATTGGAAATTATAACGTAATTTATATTTTACACATCTGCAATAACTATTAAGTAATTAATCATTGATTACATTAATTTATTTACCTGTTGTAACACAATTATGCAACATATACGCGTTTCAGCGCTTTATTTAAACATTACAAACAAAGTAATTACTGACAAAAATGCTTAATTTTAATCATACAACTTTTCTATTTCAAGCTAGATCTAGGCTTCGTTTATTTCTTGTCGTCTTTCACTGATTCTTCTTGGCATTTTTACGACTTGACACTAGCCCACAGACTTTATAGTTTACGTTCCTACACCTACATATTTATAGTTTTGGAAGCTTTGCGTTATCCATTCTGATACCTTATTTGGATGTGGATTTGTCTTTTTTATAAAATTTTATCGAATGTTTGCAAAATTAAAAAAACTCCATAGAATGAAAATGTTAAGTATAGTCAAGATACAATGAGAAAACATTTTTTTTTCTTTACTTTATATTTTGTAAAGCTGCATTTCATTTCCTGATCAAGGCAAACTATTGTCGCATGAACGAGTTGTATCTGAAAGCTAAAAAGCCGACCAAAAGGTCGGCAGAGGTACATTTTTCACTTTAATATAGCAAAGATACAATAGCATGGACATTCCCTTTCGTGCAGTAACACAAGCGAGACAAAGAAACTTTGAAATAATTAAACGTCAGCAACACGCAGGAACCGATTGGTATTTCCAATTTAAAGGCCCCGCTGCACTACAAAGAACACTCTCACAAAGCAACTATTCATAGCTGCTGTTGTATAAAACTTTACATTTGGGGGAAATAGACAAGTAATGCAACAAAAATACAATCTTTTAAATTTATACGAGTACTGATATTATAAAGAGGAAAACTTTGTTTGTTTGATTGTAATATTCTTAAAAACTACAAGACCGATTTAAAAAAATCTTTCACCGTTACAAACGTTATTTATCGTTGAGTAAAATAAGCTATATTTTTTATTTCCTTATTATTATTTTTATATTTCACGCGGACGGAGTCGCGGGCAAAAGCTAGTTGCTACATAAAGAAAAATAGGCTTGGATAATTAAGTACCGTATTACTATTTAAAACACTAGAAACTAAACCGTGCTGATTACCTTACCATGTTATAGAAAGAAAAAGGTTTGACTGTTTGCTCCCAAAAATCTCAACTGCAGAACGAGTTATAAAATGTTCATTAACATTTAAGCTCTTATATTTTTAAATACGTTTTTTTTTCTGTTGATTATGTAACTTTTTCTATAAAGGTTATGCTATTTGTTTTTATATAAAAACGCTACTTAAAAATACACAGGCAAAACCACACGGATGGATATGTGAATATTCAAGCCGATATATTATTCACGAGCGACGGCAGACAATCGCCAGCCAGTGTACACAGGCGCTGACAACCGACATTATCTCGTCTCTACTACATGTGAATTATTTTATGCTTTTTAAGTGGACTTTACTGTATTAATAAGAAACTAATAAGTCTAGGGATAGCGCGCTTAACTACGATGTAAGAAGTTTTATGATTAAATTATATGGATATTAATCCAAACTATAAAATGAATACATTCACGTCACTAAGAGGGATTGAGCTTCTTAACTTTATAATGTTGGTAAAACAGATTTATGCTCCTTTTTATGTCAATATTTATCTCGAGAATACAATCAGA